TTCTACAAGCATCCAGAAAGTTCGAGGCCCGAATCCAGAAGATAAACAGGATCCCGGACTAGAGATCTGGAACCGGGACCGGGTCCTGGTCCTGGTCCTGGTCATAAAACGTTACAGATAATGCGTATTTATACATTTTGGTCGAATAGGAAACAGCATCGAAGTCTGTGACATTGACAGTTAAGACGACCAATAGGAAGCAACATTTGAAGTGACATTGATAGTCAGGAAAACCAATAAGAAACGACATTGGAGCACGTGACATTGATATCTAGGACGACCATAAAATTGACCAGTAGGAATTAACCAATAGGAATTGACCTATAATTCTCTTAGGATATTGGATGAATATCCTAACAGGTCTAATATTGATCGATTTATGATTTCAATGAGCAAATGAACTAATTACAAAGAAAAAAACAAAACTTACTTCAGCTGTATTCCATACAATAACACGTAATTCATAGGCAGCTGGTACACGTGGTGAAATATTAATAGCTGGCGGTGGAACAGCAACTTCTCTTTCAAACATATCAATCCACATTTGTAGACGACCTTGAATTAAACCTGGATTATCTGGATGTTTCAAAGAACGTGTTTCCACATGTTCACTAACTAATTTCACATCTTCATTTGTAATTAATGACCAATTATGTAATGCTTCTAACGCTAATGGTTCTACCGATTTAACTGTTATACCTAAAAAAACATTATTCAAAAAAAGAGATAAATGTTATAGTAGATGATTTGGTAAGAAATGAATGACAAACAGTGAAGTGTAAATTATTGTTGTAAACTACTGAATTACGTAATGTTTTTAATAATTCAGAAAGTAAACTATCAATTTGGACAATACAAGGCAACTGAATGTTTTGATAACTAAGATTAAAATGAAATAATGAATTGATGATTGTCAGACCGCCATTAGAAACCTGGGATCACTGGACAACATTTCGTTCTAGTATGCAACTCATAAGCACTGTGCATTCACAACCTTCTCACACAGGAATCGAACCTAGCAGGTTTGGTCTCGCACACGAATATTTAACCTCTAGACCACTGGGTCGGCATCCAATGGTTTTAATGTTTAACTTTAACCAATCCACGATATTGCGAAACCTCACCCATTGTTTTTGCTAGGTAACTCAGACAGGGCTGAACTCCACTATATACAGCTTCTCACTAGAATTCCAAGAATTTCCTCAAGAAGCCAGTTACTACTAGGCACATTTTATTATCGATTCATGGAGGCCATCAAGTTTCACTGAAATAATGGATAGATCAGGGTGTGTGTGTGTCTCTCACTCGACCAGCATTAAAAACCTAGAAATGGCAGTCTGACTAAACTTCTACACCACTGATTCGGCATCCGATGGTGTTAATGTCTAACTAATGACTAGCTTCGTGAAGAAATTCTCGGAATTCTAGTGAGAAGACGTAACCAGTGGTGTTCAGCTCTGTCGAGTGTGGGCAATTTCCTACCGAAGAAAATGGGTGAGGTTAAGCATTATCGTGGATTGATTAAACTTACACACTAACACCGTTGGATACCAACCCAGTGGTCTGGAGGTTAAAGATTTGTGTGAAGGACCAAAGCTGTTGGGTTCAATTCCTGTATGAGAGGGTTGGGGATGTACAATGCTTATGAGTCGCATACTAGGACGAAACGCCATCTTAGTGCTTTCATGTTTGTAATGTTGATCTAACAATGATCAATTTGTTAGTTCAATGAAGCTTATCAGTCTCTATCATGCTATCATGAAAAACTATTTCATCGTCTTAACTATAATGTAATAATGATTATTGATTAGTAAAGTGTAGAGAATAACTCAACAATGATAATTCATTTGTAAATCTAATCAAGTTAATGAACATTAATGAAGCTGGATAAATTATCCTTATAACTTGATTCTTAATCAACACTTTCGAACCAACAATCAATAGTTCAATCTCATTCTTAATCAATAATGTCTAAATTTTAAATCTCTAACCAATTATTGATAGTTGAATATTATTCGGATAAAAAATTATTCATGCAGTCTTTTCCCTTGAATTAATCTAAGTGAAGCTTGAACAACAATTGAGATGGAATAATATGAATTCCTTGCATATCATGGTTACTTATATATACGGTTGTAAGCAGCTGATGAGAGATGATGAGTGGTAGTTGTTGGGGATGTTAGATCCCCAAAATTCGCTTGATAACTGCCTTATTTCGGTTTTCACGTTTTGCCAGCACGGGCTGATCAGTTGACCTTGAGATTTCAATTCCCACCAGGAAAATCCATGGCTGTGATTGGCTGCTGTGTATTTTAGTGTGCTATTTTGTTAACTGTCTCAAGGACGTTTCTACGTTGTATAAATAACCGAGAGTTGTATGCTTGATTGTACTGTGATTGTTGGGTGTTTGTAAAATATACTTTCTACGCTTACAAAGCCTTTTTACTTTAGCCTCGGATTCAAGGTAGCCTACCTGGACGCTGGTTTATTGTCTCGTTCACGTTTATCGACTAAGGTAAACTCGTAATAGCCTCAAGCATACTAAGTGACGAACTTATCATTAGTGAGTGAAAAATGTAGACGGACAGGCACAGCCTACTGACTATGTGATTTCACTTGCTCGCATTGATGTCGATTCCGAACTCACCGGTGCTGTGACTGTCTGCAAAATCGTGTTAGACTAAAATAGTGTATATTACTTAATCTGGTCCCACTAATTTGGTCGTGAATCACAAATCTGAGTGTTACACCCAGCATGATCAATGTGTGTGGAAGTGTACCATTCTTCCAAAGTATCCAATTCAATGTAATATTATTCTGTCTTCAATTATTGTTTTTTTCTGTTTTATTTAAAAATATTCAACTTTTGATTATATGAGTCTCATTATAATCAAAAGTTGAATAATTTTTAAAATAAAACAGAAAAAACAATAATTGAGACAGAATAATATTATCATTGAATTGGATATTTGGAAGAATGGTACACTCCACACACTGATCATTCATAGTAAAACCAGATTTGTGATTCACGATCAAATTAGTGGGCCAGATTAAGTAATATACACTATTTTATTCAATACAATTTTACGAGCAGTCACACACCGTGATTTCGGAATAGACATCAATGCGAGCAAATGAAATCACATAGTCAGTAGGCTGTGCCTGTCCGTCTACACTTGATGATCAGTCACATTTTTCACTCACTACTGATAAGTTCGTCACTTAGTATGCTTGAGGCTATTACGAGTTTACCTTAGTCGATAAACGTGAACGAGACAATAAACCAGCGTCCAGGTAGGCTACCTTGAATCCCAAACTGTAAAACAGAAGACTTGGTAAGCGTAGAAAGTATATTCTACAAACACCCAGCAATCCAGTACAATCAAGCATACAACTCTCGTTTATTTGTACAACATAGGAACGTCCTTGAGACAGTTAAGAAAATGGCACACTAAAATACACAGCAGCCAATCATAGCCATGGATTTTCCTGGTGTGAATTGAAATCTCAAGGTCAACTGATCAGCCCATGCTGGCAAACGTGAAAACCAAAATAAGGCATTATCAACCGAATTTTAGGGATCTAACATCCCCAACAACTACCACTCATCATCTCTCATCAGCTGATTACAACCGTATATATAAGTAACCATGATATGCAGGGAATCCATATTATTCCATCTCAATTGTTGTTCAGGCTTCACTTAGATTAATTCAAGTGAAAAAACTGCATGAATCAATTTTTATCCGAATAATATTCAACTATCAATAATTGATTAGAGTTATAATTTAGACATTATTGATTAAGAGTGAGATTGAACTATTGATAGTTGGTTCGAAAGTGTTTATTAAGAATCAAGTTATAAGGATAATTTATCCAGCTTCATTAATGTTCATTAACTTGAAATATGTTCGGTTGTTGATTAGATTTACAAATGAGTTATCATTGTTGAGTTATTCTCTACACTTCATTAATCAATAATCATTATTACATTATAGTTAAGACGATGAAATAGTTTTTCATGATATAGAATGATAGAGACTGATAAGCTTCATTGAACTAACGAATCGATCATTGTTAGATCAACATTGAATCGAACCCAACAGATTTGGTTCCTCACACAAATGTTTAACCTCTAGACCATTGAGTCGGTATCCAACGGTATTAGTGTCTAGGTTTAATCAATCGACGATAATGCTCAACCTCACCCATTTTCGTCGTTAGCAAACTGCCCACAGTCGACAGAGCTGAACACCACTGGTTACGTCTTCTCACTAGAATTCCGAGAATTTCTTCACGAAGCTAGTCATTAGTAAGACATTAACGCATTTGGATGCCGACTCAGTGGTGTAGAAGTTAAGTCAGACTGCCATTTCAGTTTTGTAATGCTGGTCTAGTGAGAGACACACACACCCTCATCTATTCATTATTTCAGTGAAACTTGATTGCCTCCATGAATCGATAATAAAATGTGCCCAATAGTAACTGGCTTCTGGAGGAAATTCATGGAATTCTAGTGAGGAGCTATATCCAGTGGAGTTCAACCCTGTTTGAGTTACCTAGCAAAAACAATGGGTGAGGTTTCGCAATATCGTGGATTGGTTAAACTTAATCATTAAAACCATTGGATGCCGACCCAGTGGTCTAGAGGTTAAATATTCGTGTGCAAGACCAAACCCGCTAGGTTCGATTCCTGTGTGAGAAGGTTGTGGATGCACAATACTTATAAGTTGCATACTAGAACGAAATGTTGTCCATTGATCCCAGGTTTCTAATGGTCGTCTAACAATGATCAATGCATTATTTCATTTTAATCTTAATTATCAAAACATTCAGTTGCCCTATATTGTCCAGATTGATAGTTTACTTTCTATATTATTAAAAACATGTCGTAATTCAGTAGTTTACAACAATAATTTACACTTCACTGTTTGTCATTCAGTTCTTATCAAATCATTTAAGACAAAATTTATCTCTTTTCTTGAATAATGTTTTTTTAGGTATAACAGTTAAATCAGTAGAACCATTAGCGTTAGAAGCATTACATAATTGGTCATTAATTACAAATGAAGATGTGAAATTAGTTAGTGAACATGTGGAAACACGTTCTTTGAAACATCCAGATAATCCAGGTTTAATTCAAGGTCGTCTACAAATGTGGATTGATATGTTTGAAAGAGAAGTTGCTGTTCCACCGCCAGCTATTAATATTTCACCACGTGTACCAGCTGCCTATGAATTACGTGTTATTGTATGGAATACAGCTGAAGTAAGTTTTGTTTTTTTTTTCTTTGTAATTAGTTCATTTACTCATTGAAATCATAAATCGATCAATATTAGACCTGTTAGGATATTCATCCAATATCTTAAGAGAATTATTGGTCAATTCCTATTGGTTAATTCCTACTGGTCAATTTTATGGTCGTCCCAGATATCAATGTCACGTGCTCCAATGTTGTTTCTTATTGGTTGTCCTGACTATCAATGTCGCTTCAAATGTTGTTTCTTATTGGTCGTCTTAACTATCAATGCTGTTTCCTATTCGACCAAAATGTATAAATAGGCCTTATCTGAAACGTTTTATGACCACGACCAGGACCAGGACCCGGTCCCTTATCCCTAGTCCGGGATCCTGTTAATCTTCTGGATTCGGACCTCGTACTTTCTGGATGCTTGTAGAATACAGATTCTACTTCATATCATGTCTTGTCTTATTTTCACTGAATATGGGGGTTGGAATAATCGGATTTGAGTAGCATGTCGTGTTGCCGGATCCTCGATCATCGCTCTCGTTTTTCCGACTAGATAAACTCATAATAGTTCAAGTATATCAAGTTGACGTTTTTAAGTGCAAGCGTAACAGACCACTATTAGAAACCTGTTTGCACGGGGCGAGCGTTTCGTCCTCGTATGAGACTACTCATCAGCAGTACGCATCCACGACCCATGAACTTTGCAGGACTCGAACTCAAGACCTTCGGTCTTGCGCGCGGACGCCTAACTTCACAATGAGATAATCTTTGTTAAAATCTATTTCAGTTACACATGAACTGTTATATGTACGTTTAAAAGATAACTTGATATTTGACTACATTTTTCTGGTTAGTGATTTTTTAGCGAGTTATTTTTCTAAGCGATGTGCTTGCCAACACCACGCCCAGCCCTTCTCCTTTATCCGGGCATGGGACTGGCAGAAGCTCGAGAAGGGCTTCGAATGCAGT